GTGTGTGGTGCGGCAGCTTAGCGCAAGTGCAGGTGGGCAGGGGGGTGCATGCTGTGGCATGAGGGGAGGTGGGCAGGGAGGTGGCATGCAGGGGGGTGGCGTATGAGTGCAGGCAAGCGGGGGGTGCTGTGATGGCTGGAACTTCGATGACCGGTTGTAAGTCCCCCTCGTACAACAAGTTGCCGTTGTAACTTTGAACAGTCACTGAATGAGTGGTCGTAATCCGAGGACTACCTGTACAGCCCTCCTTGTTAGTAGGATGAATCTGTTGAGGTCCATGTAATTTGCAGTTATACTAGAAATGTTAAATTCACAATCAATTCTCCGATTGGCTGCGCATGAAATATCCCCTTGTAGAGTTGCCTTGCTTCATGATCATTTAGCAGTTGTGCTCTTTATAAAGTTAGGTTTAGTCTATTCTGTGCCTGCTTCTCATCAGTTCTTCTACTAAATCAAGAAAGGGAATCATATTTTATATCTGCTCAGTAGGTAATTGGGTAGTTTTATTATTATTATAATTTACATTTAATGCACTCATTTTCTAATATATTATTTTCTTGAGTGTTACATTCATTCTAGGGGTATACCTGAATTTCAGATTTGAACCATCTGAAGTTTGAAACACCTTACCCTGAGTGCAAAAAACCTCTTTTGGATGTGGAATGGGCTGTCTTGGTCATTTTGGAAGTATATTGAGCTTGAGACCTTTCCAAAACGATCAAGGGAACCTTGTTTTGCACTTGAGATGGAGTGTTTTGAACTCAAGGCAGTGATGTGGACACTCCTACTACATACAGCTTGTCTTTCAGAATCCTGTAGGCCTGTGTAAATGTATATTCTCATACAGTGTTTGGAGCAGTGGCTTTCCCTCTTGACCACACCATCTGCATTTTTCACAATTAAACCTCCAGTGTTGAATCACCTCTAGTATATAATTTCTACAAGTTGAATGAATAGATTGATCCCCAGCTGAATCTTTATCTTTACTAATTTCCCATCTTGAGCTTTTATTGGTGAACCTCCAAAAAGGATGTTTTTCACCCATTAAAGCTACTTTTTCTTAACTTCATTCAAGTTTGCTTTCTGTTTTCTTTACTCTGTTTTATAATATATATAATTTATTTATATATATATATGTATGTATGTATGTATATTATATGATATATAATGATTTCCGCCCCTTGTTCTGCCATTATCATCTTTGCCTTTTGTGGTGTTTTCATGGTCCCTCCTGTGTTGCCCAAAACCTGATCCATTATATAATATTCCATCCCCCTATTCCAGCTGTATCTCAGTCTTTCCAAATATTGCAACCTGCTTCTACTTAGCCATCCTTATTCAGATGACATCATACGCCTTTTCTTTCTATGGTCTATTGTTATGGTATCTTAGATTGCTGTTCCAATGCATATCTTTTCTCCCCATATCTCTTCTATCTCCACTGTTTTTAGGATTCCATCTGTAATTAGCTTTCCATCCTACTGAAGCTGTCTTCCCCCATTTCCTTTAAAGTATCATTTTTTCTGTTCTCTAAGGTCCGTCTTGAAATACTGTGAGCCTAATTCATCCACCTCTTCCTGCTATTTCTTCTTCTCACCAGTCCTCTTCATCACTTAACTCATTCCTTTGTAATCTCTGCTAAATATTGGCTGTATTGATTATTCAAATAAGTTGGCGGGGAAATGACTGCAGTACTGGTAGTAGGTCGTGTTGAAAATTAATTTTACTCATGCTGTCCAGTCCAAGGGTCTGTTTGGTGATCATACCCTTGATGTGTTTATAATGAACAATGGAGCGGCCATAATTTGTCTACTGTACTCTGAATGTGTTGCTTCAAGTAGTGTTATGTCAAGTAGCATTGTCATGAATACTGTTGGGGCATTGAGATATAGGTACAACAATTGGGAACCCCCTGTTCCCATACATGTAACAGCTTTGTAATCTTTTCTAATCAATTTTTCTTTTGTTACCTCTATATTTAGAACATCTTTATACTGAATTGCTGAAGCATTTTTCAAGTTCAAATTTTGGACTGCCAGACTAAATTTAGCCCTATTATTGCTGATGTTTGATTTTCCTGTTTTGCAACGGTGTAATTGTGTTTGCATCTGCTGATTTTCTGTTTTGATAACGTTCAGGGCTGCAGCAGCAGTGATTACTTGCATTTCTCAATCTCTTTCTTATTTTCCTGTAACTTTACCTTTAAGGCTTTCACTTCTTTTGATCTCTCGGTTCCTACTGCTGTAGATACTAAATGTGCAGTAAATGTTGCGCATAATACCGTAACCTACTCTCATGTTGCGTATAATGCCATAGCCTACCCTTTGGACTGTAATTGTTTCCTTTGGAGGCATCTCAGCAACATTTTGTTCAGCTGTTCTACCTGCTCAAAACCAGCAGAGGGGGTAGCATAATAGAAGGTGGCTGCCAAAAAGAGGTGGCCACCAGCTTTCAGAGGTTTTCTGCAAGCTCTTTCTTTCTTGCCTGGCCCCTTGGCATACAAATGTAGGAAAGGAAGGGTACATGGCATGGGGTTTATTAGTGAAAGCCAATTATGCTTTGTGGTTTTGCCAACCATTCTGACTGTCTAAGCTTCCCTTTCTCTTCCACACAGAATGTCAGGTGCTTAGCACAGTTTTTGGCTATCAGATGGTTTAAGATTTATTAGCTCCCTTCAAGCTTTCACGCAATACTGCATCTTCTTGCAGAGTTCTCTAATCTTCTTTCTAAACTGTTCGGTCTTTAGACACTGTAAACGATCCAGTGTTAGTTCTGAACTAGGTTATAATTGTCAAGCATCTGTCTTTTAAAATCCTATTGAAGGGATATTGCACCTTATACAAGTTCTGTCAAAAGCTGCTGTTTTCATCTGGAAGAGGTGGTGGATCTAACCATTTATGAAGTATGTTGATAGATCTTTTGAAATCTCAAAATGTTACTGGCTGAGGACTAAAAGTTTGGGTGTGAGATGCACATGGTTCATTAAGCTGCAGAGTTTGATGGAATTGTGGATATTGATGAATCTGAAATTCTAGTTGGGGCAATCTGATGAAGAAGTGGATTGTCTTGTGTCATGTATCCTTATTAGTAGGCCCCATCACTAGGTACACTCCTCTCCTGTCTGTACCATTTTCCATTGCTTGCTAATCCCAGTTGTCTGGCTTGACTCCTACATTGTCTTTAGAAAATTCAAAGCCTGTCTCTATTGAGCTTTTTTAATTGTTACTTTTCTCAGCTCAGTGGATTGAGTCATAGCTGCCCTGAAAGAGTTAGCCCTGTGATGCAGCTCCTACTGCCACCCCCAAGTAATGCAACATTAACCAAGCCCTATGCCTTGACCTCAGTGCCTTGATATCAGAGAAAATAATAAGGAAGAAGCAGCCCTGACTTTAAGAGACACAGAATTTGTGAGCTTCATAAACTGCCATGACCACAATTTCCCTTTATCTTCTTTCCAGACCTCTCTTCTGTGGCAACTCTGAAGCTGACCAACTGGGCAAGATCTTTGAGTGAGTCTCCACTTCTCATTCTGTGTCAAAGGTTCTGAGTCAGTAAATCATCACAAAGAGGAAGTTGCTATAATTAGTTAGAGCATTGGTTTTGCTCAACGTATCTAGAGGTTGCTTGCCTGATTCTGCTCTTTATAAGGATCCCAAGCAAAAGTTTGTGGGTTTGTTTTTGTGAGCCAGAGAAAGCAGAAGTGTCACATTACAGCTGTAAGATCTCATTTTGTTGATCTTTCTAATTGAGCAAAGAACTGGTTGGCCATGGGTGATAGGGGTTTGGCCACTGACTTTTGTTGAGAGTTAAAGCAGGAATAACATAATAATGGCCCTCTGGACACTCCTGAATTGTAACACCCAAGGGGCACAACCACTTATGAAGGATCCCAGGAGTTGCATTTGAGCAATATCTAGAGTACACAGGTTTCCAGTTCATGTGCTAAAAAGATGGTAAGAAATTATGTGAATGCAACTCATCCATTTTTAGAGTATTTTGTTGGCGGTGTTTAATGATTAGTTGTGCTTGATTCCGATTAGATTGCATGATCCTATTACTAAGCAGGGGAGGTATTATTTAGGGGAGTTATCTTGTTCTGCACTTACAGGCTCTGGAAATCCTGAATTTAGAACAATGGTTACAAGATGAGAAACCATTTATTCATGTAATTCAAAGACTGGTGTGCTGTGGTAGGGAGCCAAAGTACCAAGTCTTTGGTATTGCAACGCCCAGCAGCATTGAAACCAATCTGAGCTAGATCTAGCTCATGTTTTTTCCTTCCTTACTGCAGCCTGATTGGTCTCCCTTCAGAGGAGGATTGGCCATTGGATGTGTCTTTACCACGCTGCGCCTTTGCTGCTCGCTCCCCACAGCCTGTGGAGAAGTTTGTGCCAGAAATTGAACTTCTGGGGGCTCAGCTGCTTTTGGTATGTTCCAAGACACCAGCGTAATTATGGAGCGAACAAGCGCAAAAGTGGGAGTTGAGAACAGGGGATAGAATGATAATTTGGAGCCTGAACTTGGTATTATTTTGAAGACATTAATGGAAACATGGAGTGAAGGAAAGATTTCCTATCTAGGTAGCTTACATGAGTCACCAAGTCATTGGCTTCTTGCACCCCACCTTCTTGGCATTTGTCTTTGGCAGCGAAGAGGCAGTGAGTGTTGGTGATTCAGTATTTGATAACTAGGAGTGACTTAGTTTTCATCGAGTCATGCTGCTGGTGGCAACTGCAGCTGGCATCTGAATAATGTACTGTGTGAATTCAACATTAATCATAGGATAACGTGGAGCAGTACTTTCAGAATAAAGCTGATTTCAGGTTTAAGAGACACACCAGAGATCTCTAGGATAGATACTGAGAATTGCTGGAGTTGGAGCCAGCTCCTTTACCCCAGTTCTTGGTTTGTTTGCCTTCAGGCCACCTCTCGTGGGTCTTGGTCAGGAGAGATTTGGAACACGTCCTGTAGTGGGGATGTATGTGCATATATGTTTTTTGAGATGTATGTAATGGATTTCCTTTTTGTGTATGTGCCTCTCTAGGAAATGCTGACATTCAATCCGCTGAAGCGTATCTCTGCCTTCAAAGCATTGCATCATCAATACTTTCAGGATAAGAATGCAGGGGAAGGGTAGCATCCCAGCAGGTCCCTAGCATGGGGGAAGAGACTGTACAAAAGACTTTGTGAATGTGTGTATAAGGATAATGTGCACCCCACCAAGTGGCTACACTCAGACTAGTCCCCAAGCTGTCCTGGCTGTGCTAGGATTGAAGGGGGGGGGGGAGGACGAAGCTTTTGACAACATGCGTGAAAACAGAAAAGATCGTGTTGCAGGACCTGCACCACTGAAATCCTTTCCCACCCTGAAAATGTTAGGACTCTAGTGGCATCTCTCTGCCACCATGCATACACATTCTGTGTTCCTGGGTTGATCTCCAGTGGCATTCTTGAAGGTCAGTTTGTGTTTGGGACAGCCTGGTTGGAGGCATCTCGATCATCTATGGGTTCTTTGCCAAAGGTCTCTTTTTGATAACCCCTTTTTCCCTAATAATTTTTTTATAACAGTTTACACACAATAATGTTGCTGCCTTATCACATTCCTGTGGCTAACAGTTTGACACTAAAGCCTTGCCTTAGCATGTTACAAAGCTCCACAAAAATGGGAGCAGAAGAATATTTTTGTAAAGTCTTCACAATTCTTTTTTAATTGCCAAGACACTGGTCAGAACAGACCTACGCTGTTGGCTATCTCAGCATGGGAGACATGCTCAGATGGGGGTTTTCTCCATCTGTTTGATTTCAAATATTAATGTGAAACATTTTTAAAGGCTTCTAAAAATGATAACATTTCAATAAAGGATGTGGGCAAGGTCCAGGCAAGTATAGCTTGGTCTTTCCCTTTTCTTGTCACTTGAAATTGTCTCGCGTTGTGATTAGTTTGGTGAATGGTTATCTGGGTTTGGTTGCTCAAGTGTTGATTCATCTACACCCAAAGGGGCTTTCAGGAACAGAAACTCATATTGAACCTTTTGCTTTTCAAATTGGAAATCTGATGCTTCACATTGTGTATTCCATGATGTGTACTGATGAGATCCTGTAAATACATGTTTTTCAGAATCTTCCAAAGGTAAAAGATTTATTGTTAAGTCCTGCCCCTTGCCTGATCTGTTAATGGGGTTCCTGCCAATCTCTGAAGTAGCATCTCTAGAACATTCTTGAACTTTGCTTATCCTTTTTCCTTTCCTTTTCGTGTTTATTTTCACATATCCATTTTACTTTCTGCTAGATATTTCTTTTTTTCTTTTTCTTTTCCCTACCTCCCTTTGTTCTTGAGGGCTGCTTTGCCCTTTACTAAGGGTCTTATGGACCCGAAGGTGCCATTTAGAAAGTGCTTTAGATGTGGAGAAGCTTTTGTCAACATACATATTTGCCTGATCTGCCTTGGAAGAGGGTAAAAAGCTAACTCTTGCTCCTGTTGCCCAGGATAGAACAGGGAAGGTGGCCGAGTGTCCTGCATTTGAACCATTAGGTCAGGCAAGGAGGAAAAAGACACGTCAAGAGAAAACATTGTCTTCCCTGGTCCCTCCTTTACTGGTTGCTGAGAGCCAGGAGATGCAGCAGATCCCCCATGAAGGCCTTGTGGCTTTGGACCATCTAATAGGATTCCTTGCAAGGAACAAGTTGCCAGGCTCCCATTCACATCTTCCTGAGGCAGGCGACAGCTGCAGAAATATTACAAGCAGATGCCTAAAGTATTGCACACTGACAGATTAATGTAGCTGACTTGGATGCAGAGAGAGATAAGCCCTTTGCAAGCACACATGACTCTGTTCCTTGGTCTTCCCCTGGGATATTGAGCTAGGATCGAGGTGGCCTTATTGGAGGGGATGACCAGGCAATAACCTGCATAGAATCCAGAAACACGGGCGGCAGAATCACTCTTAATACAACACAGTGCTGACCCTGGCACTCCCATCCTAGTATCAAATGCAAGCGGGGATGACAGACGTCCATGGTCACTGTTGGAAGGCTCCACATACCTGCAGCTAGAGCAAGTAACCCCATTTTGGTAGTTTGGTCCCAGCTTCAAAAACCTTTGCACAGGATATGGTGTCAGCAGCCCAGTCAATAGTTTTGATTAACAAACACACAACCCCTGTGCCCTCTGGGAATAAGCTTGCTTGATTCTTTGGGCAGTGGATAGCTCCAAGGGACTGGTGGTCTTACACATCATGAAAATGACTGCTTCAAGATTTTTATGCCACTCCATTTGATCTCTTCCCTATTGTGAAATCATCCTTTTGTTTTGGGAAATTCACTCACTAAAGTGCAAGGTAGGCATAGAGGTAGCCTCCAGGAAGCATACAAAGATCAGTTTTTATTTGAGATGCTTTATTTTCCTGAAGTGGGGTGGTAGACTTCACCCTATCATCATCCGGAGTGCTAAGGACAGGCACCTCTATAATGCCTGATTTTTTTTTATGGCCACCCTGACTTACATTCCCATTCTCTGGTACGTTCAGTCAAGAGAAAGACCACCTACGTATCTTTTGAATTCCAGAATCTGATACGACCTTTAGGAGGCCCAAAATCAATAGAATTATTTAGGAGAATTTGGCATACATGAGTCCATGGTGGAGTGCACCTTTTTCTTAAAAAAAAAAAAAGCTCCCAGTTCAACTCTTTCAAAGGCCTTTGAACTCTTTCTTTAAAGGACATCTAGGGAAAGGCCTGAGGAATTTTGACGTGAACCCCCAAAGAGCTGTTTCCAGTGCTTCACGAATGTGTAGTTTAGCTGAGTAAAAGCCACCTTGTGTTTATATTTTTACTTGCAAAAATATACCTTGGCTCTAAATAATTTGTTTTTGCTGAGGAAGTGGGTAGATGATTGTTTATATGGAAGCCCATACATCAACATCCAGGTCACTTCAACAAACTGCTTTTTGTGTCTTCTGGTTTTGCCAAGATAAACTGGAGTCCAGCTGTGTGGGATGGAAGCCAATTCAAACAATATTTAGTGCATTTGCTGTTCCTTGGGGAGGAGGGAGTGACTGTTTTAAGAAACAAGCACTTGACACAAGTGCCACATCACCACTAAACTGGACTGAAATCTAAGCCATTCACGTCTAATTAAAACTCAGGTGGGACCTCTGTTTATCTTCACCATGCTGTGAGAATATCAGATGTTCAGCATTTACTACAAGTAACAATCATCTTTTTTGCTATTATGTTCCTCCTGTTTCTTTCTTCCTTGTTTTATTTAAATGTTGAAGTAAACTTTTATAATGCGTAGTTTGAGTGAGGTTCTTTCTCGTCTCCACCAGTATATTAAGCAACCAGTTCTGTCACTTGCAAAATTTTAGAGGGGTTTCATGTGTGTGTGTGTGTGTGTGTGTACATGCATCTGATTTGGGGGTACTCAAAATTGGAAAGATACATACTGGGCAGATTTGGATTTATTTTTACAAATTGGAGCCATCTAACTTATTTAACAGTAGTTGTAACGTGTCCAAATCTCAGAGACCCTGGGCAGCCCACGGCAAATGAATTGGACTGTAATAAATTCAGTGGCATATGATGTTGTTTCATATTCTTCTGTTGATGGTCAAAGTTCTGGGCTTGGTAATTCATTTTGCTGTATCCAGTAATGACAGTACATCGTATGAATCCTTTGAAAAGGCGTATGACTCTGGTGCATATATATGCTCAGGGCCGGTTATTTGGTTTTGGGGAGGTGCCTTATATTGAGGAGTTTCTTCATTACCATTTATATAGCTTAAGAAACCACCTATATGTTGCTATTTTGATGAAAGAAATATACAGCTGTGTGGCTGTCACTGAACTTTTCAGTAAGGAAACCCAGAATTGTAGTTGAAGCCTATTTTGAGCATTGTACATGTAACCTGCTCTCGAGTTTTCCTGTTGCTAATCTTGGAGTTTTGCTTTCATAAGAAATGACCTTATTTCAACTAAACAGTAAAGTAAAAACACATCCCTCCCCCTGGTTAGAAGTCACAATCTCCCTTTAGGACCAATCCCCCTTACCAAGAATTTATATTAAGTGTTTGCAATACATCCCAGGGTCTGGTAATTAGGGTCAAAAATAAGCGAACGCCACTGTTTTCCTACTTGGCTTCCAAGTTCCTTGGAGGCCCCTGCATGATTTTCTGGTGCAGTAAGAATGCTGGGTTTGAATTAGCACTGCCATTCTACCAGTAGCCAGGCTCATGACAGATCAGACACAGCAGGAGCCACCTGTCTTCCAGTGTGTGGGTTAGTTCACGGTCAACCTTTTTACTAGTCAAAGGGGGATGCTGCTACTCCTTGCTGGGAGGAAGAGTGAAACGGGGTTCTATTTTCAAAAGCTCTAACATGAAAGGTTTCTGGTTTTAGTAGTATTGGAAGGCTTGTTTTTATCTGTAGCACCAAAATTGAAGATAGTATGCCTTGGGGCAAATTTACCTTTACAGAATGTATCACCACATAACCTTTCTAACCCCGTTGCCATTCCTTTCGCCAAGGTAGTAAAGCAGTAAATACTAAAAATCTGCATTTGACAGAAATGAGTTTATTCAAATTGCCTGTCACAATAGGAGCAGTTTCATGTGTACAAGATGGAAAAAGTACGTAATTCTTAAAGCCATAGGCAGCTCTGAATATATCAGATTGCTATTTTCTGATAGGTCTTTTCCTCACCCTCCCTATCAACTACCACTGCAGGGCAAGAATAGTTCCTAGCAAAAAAGGCGCATTGAAAGAAATAGCCTGGAAACTCCATTTTATGTGTTAATGCACAGTACCTGTCTAACCCCTTCTCTAAGGTAAATAGGATGAGACAACCATTTGTAATACTACCTGGCTATAGCCCAGTTTTTACTTGCCACCTTATATAAAGTGCTTGTTGAATTGTTTCAATCAGTCCCTGTGAGTAATGAAGTTCAGTAGACTGCCAGCACCGTCCCCAGTGTGTAAAGGCTGCAAAAGAATGGTATCCAGTTCTTGCTTAAAAACGTCTTCCCCCTGCCTAACGGAGGCAATCATAAGACTTTTTACTGCAGAAACATGTTGACCCAGGAGACTTGTATAATTACAAGCCAGTCTCAATATTCCATTTTTTGATAAAGTGATAAAGAAGGTAGTGCCTTGCAGTTCTAGGTGGGAGTTAAATAATATTGATTTTTCTGGATGTATATTACGCTTTCAGCTGGGTTATAGAATTAAAATGCCCTCAATTGCCTTGGTGGATTACCTGTGCTGGAAATTGGATGGGAGGAGTATAGCCCTACCAGTTCTTCTGTACCCATTGGCAGCCTTCAGTACCATCACTACAGCATTCTTTCTGGACTATATGGCAAGATGGGGACTTGGAACCTCATTTTACCATGGTTCTAATCATCCCAGGTCCAGAAGGTGGTGCTGGAGCATTAATTGGGGTCACCTAGCCACTGACTCATGATGTCCGATAGGCTTCCACCTGGCTTTCTATGCTTTTCAATGTCAAGATGAAACCAGTGGAGGGGAGGTCATCCAGAATTTTGGAGGGGTGTTACCAACTGATGTTACTAGCTCTATTGCTCATCGTCATTCAGTTCCAAGAAAGGAACTAGTTTCCTTGAACATTGGTAATTCAATAGTGCAACTGGATGAGCAAGAACAAGCTGAAATTAAATTCTAACAAGTTTTTAAATGGGCAACTGAAGATGGAGACAGAGATCAGCCTGTTTTAGATAAGATTCCACACACTCTGAAAGAGCAGGTTCACAGTCTGGGAGTACCCCTTGAACTTCAAGTGTCACTGGATTCTCAGGTGAGGTGAGGTGCACCCTTGCAGTCACATGTAAACTAACTGCACCTTTCCCAGGTTGGTCAGGTATGACCTCAGCTATCAATGTGTTGTTACTTAACGTCTTAACTCCTGCAACTTTTCTATGTGAAACACTCAACTGTCCAGAAGCTGCATTTACTCCAATATGTGGCTGCTAGGATGCTAGCCACTGCAAGGTACAAGGATCACGTGATGCTTGTGCTAAAAGTTCTCTGGTTGCTAGTTGCCTCCTGAGCATAATTTAAGGTGTTGGTGTTAATCTTTACAGCCTTAAATGGCTTACAATCTGTCTTCTGATTCACACTTTTATAGTTGCTGGGATCTACAGGGCAGGCCCTTTTCATGATGTCTTTCTTAGGCAACTGATGGAGGCTCTTCTTTTGAGGATGTGGGAGAAGGTCTGCTGCTGCTGCTCTCAGACAATGCTCCTTTGGGAGCTACTGTTCTCAGACACTCCTTTGGGAGCTGCATATGGCCACTATTTTTTTACCATTTAGAAAATCTGTAAAGATACAGCTCTGCCAGCTTTTACTTTTTAGATGATTTTAGTATTTATCATCCATTTATATTTGCATTCTGTTGTTTTGGCCACCTTATGTGATCATCAGAAGGACAGAGTATAAATATAATAAATGTTTACAATCATCCTCTCCCCACCCACCACCCCAACAGTTTGACTGGAATTGTAACCCCTAGCTCAAAAAGTATGTTAGGGAGACCAATCTTTCTCTATCCACACCTGTTTTCAAAAGGCAGCACATTGCTTTTGGGCTTATCTGCACCATTTAATACTGCGTATCACCTAGGATGTTAACCTCAGATGCCGACTGTAGCTTTAGGAGTTGAGAGGAATTTGCCAAGCTATTTCTACCTGCCCTATGTAAGTACTTGTTTGCAAAATATGCCACTGATTATGAGACCTTCCCTACTCTATAAATAAATAGTATGGTACGTGTATTAAGGATGCAGCATATAAAACATTCAAGGTTTCACTAGAAGACATTCATACTCATCAAAGAGGAAGTAGTCTGTGTTCTTTCCGTGTTAATGGGAATGTGCTTCTGCTTTTCATCTTGAAGGCACAGCTCCTTCCAATCTCTGTCCTAGAAATATCTGGTTTTGAAGGGATTTGGAGGATGCTAAGAGCTTCACTAGAACCTTTCTTGGGCAAGAGACTGACAGCACCGCAACAGTCTTTCCCAGGCTGCCATCTAGATCACTTAATACTATACAAGGCCCAGTGCTAATGTGTAACATGCTTGTGCTCAGCTACAGCTTCTCTTGTTAAAAGTAGGACAAAAGAAATTGCATTTCAGAATATAGTGGGCTGAAACCGGAAGCAGGGGGGAGGGGCTGCCTCATAGGCAGTCTAGTGTTCAAACAATAGAATCCCCAAGGGTTAGCTATGATCCTCACATACATCCTTATTCACAACAGTCGGATATAGGGGAAGCAACTGAACAGGATAGGACACGTCTATATCACCAGCATACAACAGTTTCAAGTCTTAATCCTCCAGCTAAGTAACCACAGGAATAATATTGCAAAAGAACCTGGAATCCAAATCTCAGGCTAATCTCATTCAAGTCCCTTTTGTTCCAAAGAAACAGGTTTTCAGAGAAACCACTTTCAAGCCAGTTTAAGAATTTGTAAGTAGATGTACCTGTAATTACACTATGAACTGAGTTACACTATGAGTTCTCCAGTCAGTTTTAGGCAGATTATGACTTTTCCCCCTTAAAAAGAGGCAGCCTGAGTATACGATTGTAAATTCTGAATTTAGGTAAATTTCAATTTCGGCTTGTAAAAAAATCCTAAAATAAGACACCAGCATGTTTGTTTAAACTAAATCTAAATCTTTCCCTAGAGCTGCTTCACATAGCACTCATGTCTACTGTGTTTGACCATAGGAAACACAAACTGGGAAGAGCAGGCAAATTTGGTGAAAATAAGTTTATGGGAAAACTGTTGCCTCCACTGCTTAAAAAGTAACACAAAGCACTTTGTCTTGCGAAGATGAAGACATATTTGAGGAAAAAAGCAGCTTTAGGGAAAATCTTTTTTAAAAACTTGGGTCTAACAATGCAAAAGTTTTAAAAACACCAGAGTGATTGTAGTTATAAGCAGCAATTACATAAGTCAACAAAATGACTTTCAGTCATCTTACGTGATACCAACTAATATCTGCTTTTTTTCCTCCCCCAGTACTGGGTCCCTTTGCCACATGCCAAAGGCTTCATGTCATGGATGAAGCCTTCGCTTGCTGTTTCATCCAATCAGCGGTTTGGCACAATGGCAAAGTTCACCCTCATAGGGCCTGCGAGAATGGCTGGGTATTGAGTGATGGAAATGGGAGGTCTTAAATAAGCAAGAAGTGGCTAACTGAAAAGGGAACCTGGAAGGTGATAGGAGAAGGAACTATAAAAAGGCACTGGGGTTGGCTCTGGGATCCTTCTGGTTTCTGTAACGCATTGCAAGCCATACTCCAAGGATCTGAAAGGCAAAAAGAAAGAAGAAAAATCCAATTACAAGATTTAATTCCATGCTTATCTTATGAATGGTTAGGAAATGGTTTGCCATGATCAAAGCTGGGTCTTTCAGATAGATGGTCATGTTAACTAGGATAATAAAGAACAGCCCTCTAGATTGAGATGCCCCCTTCCAGTTTTCAGAGTTAAATTCACAGACCTTCCTAGCCAGCATGGCCTTTGCTGAGAATTTGTGAGTTGTAGTCCATGCCTCTGAAAGAGGTCTTTTTTGGCTGTGCGCCCTAGAATGCTTCCCTCAAGATACCAAATTAATTTAAATGTTTTCATTTCAACACTAAATTAAAAATTAGCTGTTCAACCAAACTTTAGAGATGTAAGAACCATAGCTTGTCCTTGATATGTAATTATCAAAGAGGTAGATTTAACTGTTACTCAAGTGACTTGTTTCCACTGACTGTATCCCTCCCTGAGATCAGGAGATGTTTGAAGCATTTAAATGATTGTGACTTAGGCTGCGTGGCCCCTGCTTTTGTTTAGTTTAATGGACACAGTTACCTCTGTGAAACTGAAGAAGAGTCCAACTCCACCAAGGATTTTCAAGGCCTCATCTGCATGTTCCATCATCACAACACCACATTTGAGGCATCCACTCTTTGATTTTGTGCATGGCTGCATGAGGTGACAAAATGCAGTGTAACTCTGATTCTCCATTTGTAAGAGACAACCAGAAACTTTACCTGTTTGCAGATACCATTAGCAGCAGTAAAAAATTGGGCTCAATTAGAAACTGATTGTTCTTCATTTGAAGTTGTAACTGGTGAAACAGCAGGTGATCCCATCCAGCTATTTCAACACAGAAGAAAGTTGCATACTTACAAATAAATGCAACGGATAGAGCCCTGCCAAAACTGACTCTCAATCTAACATCAGTCTTCCTGCAGCTTGTATTATTTAAGGTATGTTAAACTATTAACTCCCTGACAGCTTTGTCAAAGAAGTACTTCAGCACATCTGAACAGAACCACAGTGGAAGAAGCAGAACAGCTCAGGCACACACATTTACCACATCAAAACTGCTTGTAGGAATTCATATCCCATGCATATTCTGCTTTGAATTTAATCCTTGGGAGTCTGCTCTAAGTAAGATGAACTGGTTTGAAAAATGCTTCTAAAACTCTGAAATACACAATATCTGGATTCATAAATAACAGTGACACAGTTTTTGTCTTAACAATGTTTGAACCCATTGACACTATCCAGACAGGAATGCAGCACTACAGCCTGAATTTTCAATGTAGCCTGGACCAGGGGACTCTTTCTCATCCTCTGGAAGTCTGGAGAGTCTCAGGGTAGGGGTTTCCTTGTTCATCTTTGGGATGCCTGAATTTATGGCAGCAGAAGCCAACAAGACCTCCAAAGAAGGTACTGTGCTAGCTGCAGGAGATCTGGGTTGGCAGCTGATGGTACAGTACCAGCTGTGAGTTGCAAGTTGGACTTTGGTGTGAGAATCCCCTATATCGTCAGCATTGCTCTGCAGGTTGGTTTGGAGGAGAGTGATTCCCTATCGCTTGGATCTTTTAACAGACTAGAACAAGAATGTAACCTGGAACAACTTAGAAATCAGCTTTCATCAACATGAAGCCCCTTAGAGTTAATGCTGTCCAATGGCCCTTTTTAAAATGACTTGTTCCTTTTAGGGAAAGATAGTCACAACCATTTGAAAGGCTACTATGAAGAATTCTCATGGTATTTGGTGGATAAAACCACCCAGATTCAAGAGGAGTTATATTTCAGTGGGACAACAGAGATGACTGGAGCTTCATCTTGCGATATGATCTGGGATCATTTTGAATCTTGAGGAAATGTCTGGAATGTCAGCTCCACCACTTCTTGGTTGGATGCCTATCCTTCATGGTTGGTTAAGGTCTCCCATGAAGTGCCAGAAAGTTGGATTTGAAGAGTAATTAATGCTTCTCTGAGTGGGGGCCTGTGTCTATAGCCTGTGAAAAAGGCTGTGGTATGCCCCCTCTTCAAGAAGCCTCCACTTGATTTGACTGCTTTGGATAATTTAGACCAGGGTTCCTCAACCTCAGCGACTTTTAAGATGGGTGGACTTCAACTCCCAGAATTC